ATGAGCACACTGTCGCGCTGAGCTAAAGGATCCTGTCTGTCCCGCAATATACGCTGAATTCTGAAAACTCTCCTTATCAATCTTGCACCTTCCGCAATGGGTTGCTCGCGTATACGGACAGGACTTGGCTGCGACAGACTTCCCAAATCCACCTTCGCTTTTATAGCCGTGGTCTCTCATCTTGATTACACGAAGTAATTTACTATTACTACTCTAAAATATGAATTACATCTGTAATAATCAAATACATGAAATAGAATGATTAATAGTACATTTCCCTTTTTTTTTTAGGAAATGACCTGTATGTATCTGTATGAAATCAATAAAAGAATCAAATACTGCATTATCTTTAGTTACATTGATTTATGGTAAAACGGTGGTAAAATATCGCTGTTGCTTTCGTATACATGAAGCGGACATACCTGAGTGGCCGCGATCTAATCTTGTTTGCATAAAGTAAACCTGCTCTGCGAGTGCAGAACTAACACAGTCACACAAACTCAAACGTTGTTTCTTACCTCTGACTGGGAGAAGTCCATCTTCATGTTATCGGCTCCAGCAGAAGCTAGAGTCAGGGGTCGCCGCTTCATTCTTCATCCAGACGCACAAACAGAACATTAGTTAGTGACGTGTGTAACTCAGCATCAAGTAGCAAGAGTGTAACTCATAGGTTGTGCCTTGCAGAGAAAGATTGAAAGGTGCTTGCATTAAAACAGTTTAAAATGTTGCCCATACCTTGCAACATTTAACATATTACATGTATATTACCCATTAGCCTTTTCCAATCATGATTATCATACAATGAAAACAAGGTAAGACATTAAGTTCAAGAATGAAAAGTATCTGAATATTGCCCTCTGCTCCTAAAATCCCTTTACTGCCTGAAGAAAAGGTTCATAGCGGAGGTGTCAAACATACAGCCTGTGGGCCAAAAGCAGCCCACCAAATCACTGGATGGCTTTGGAAAATGTTTACATTTCAAAGAAGGAGGGGTGTATAACTGTATTTTGATCAATTTTAAAGGTTTTCTTACTCCCTTGTTAGTATTAGCCTCTTATTTCTTTATTTTTTACAGTGTGAGCTTAAAGAGCCCTGATGCAGGTTTCTTCTGTTCATTAGTGCTGCAATGATTCGTTGACATAATCAATGATGTTGACTATAAAACGTTTTTTGACATATAATTTTATTGTCAGCACGTCTTAATACTAATACATAAAAGTGTTTTTGTAAGTGCAGTATACTACAGGAAACTATTGGGACAGTATCATCGACATCGTCTGCAAAGACTACACTTAATGCTAACGAAAAAGAACGCTGCACAAACGGCGAAATGGCAGAAAATGGAAACTAAGAATTGTTAAAAATCTGAAAGCATTTCACAGAAAACAAAAACAAAGAAAAAACAAAGTTAAATGCAGACTGCTTTCCATCTTTGACAGCAACACTGCAGTGCACGAGCATTTGATATGCCGGCACCCTGGAGCTGTGACATCAACTCTGATTGGGTCAGTTTTCAGGGGTTACGGTTTTTTATCTAATGAGTGAAATGAGACAGTAAAACATTAAACAGGAGTAGCTACACTGTCTCCTAGGTCGTTTTCTCACATTAATATTATCGTCTATTGTGAATAGTACACCTCTTCCACCTAATGTTAGGTTGTTAATCTGTGAGTTGGGCCATATCAGTAATTAATCATAAATGTAATCAGTTAAACAGTGTAATTGGCATTGAACACTACACTATCTGAGAAACTATCATAGACAACCAAATTTGTAAGTAGTAGCAGCTCTAGTATTGAGCACAGGCGTATAGATGAGTTTGTCCTGTACAGAGGCTCTTGCACCTGTCAAATGGCTGAAGACTAGGGATGGGTACCGGTATCGGTTCTGACATAAAC